CTCCTATCCAGGTATCCAGCACTGCAGAGATCCCAGGGCACTGCAAAGCTCCAGGGTGTTCCTGGAATGTCCCTCCTGCCTCCCTGAGCTGCTGTGTCACCCCCCAGCCCCAGAGGGACTCACCAGCTCAGCGTATTTCTTGCACAGAGCTGCCAGTTTCTCCTCTGATGTGCTCAGGGTGTTCAGTGTCTGCATCAGCAAAGTGATTTCCTTGCCTGGAATGAGACAGGGCGTGGAAATAAATAAACAAACCGGATAAAATGGCTTAGACAGTGCTCTGGCTTGTGAGAGTGAAGACGGGAGGGGACTGAGCAGGTCTGGCAGCCCTGGGCCAGAGATGCTGTTCCTGGGGTCTTCTCAGGACTCTGCCCCACAGATTTCACCACATACAGTGTGAAAATAAGTGGAGCAGCTGGGGAGAGACCTGGTTTTCAGAGCAGGAATCACCACTGGGCTGGCTGGAGCCAGCTGTGCCCAGGAGAAGAGAAATCCATGGAATTCAGAGGCTGTGGCAGCCCCAGGAGCAGCCAGTGCCTTTGCTGCCCTGGGTACATCCCTCACACCCCCAGAACAGGACACTGTGCCATTCCCAAACACGTCCAAAGGCCACGGATTTGATGAGAGCAGGATAAACCCAAGGGCTGCAGCACACCCAGGGCAGGGAACCTCTTACCTAAACCCTTGGCTTTCTTCTTCTCCTGAGCCTTCTTCTGGTCTCTGTCGCCGCCCTCCTCGGTGCCCTTGGAGTTCTCCTTCTCCCCGTTCATCTCGGGGCCGCCCGGCTCCTGCTCCCCGTTCCGGGGGGACTCGGGGCAGCCCTTGTCGGGCTCCTCGGGCTCGGGGGGCTCCCCGTGCCCGCCGTCCTCCGCCGGGCCCTCCTGGCTGGCATCCACACAGTAGGTGCTCAGGATGTCCTCCAGCTGCCGGCTCAGCTCCTCGGACACATCCTGGGAGGACTTGGAGTCCTCCTGAGTGAGGGGAGCTGGGGGGGGGACACACAAACACAAAGCATGAGGGTCCCCCCCCCCACCTCCACACACAGGGAAAGGGGAGGTTTTCCTGGCTGGACTTGCAGCAGGATAAGCTGCTTTGTCTCCAGCCAGCTGCCCTGACAATGGCAGGGCATTCCCAACAGCCTCTCCTTTGATCACCAGAGCATGACCAAGCCCCTGACATCTGTCAAGAGCAAAAATTCCACCCCCAGTCCCCCACTCAACCACAAGCAGGTTGTCTGTGAGCTTTTTCCTCACCCCCTCCCCAAGGGGAACTGGCAGCTCAGATCACCCAGGGCTGGGCTTTTTAGCATAACAATGGGCTTTAAACCTGGGTGAGCCTCCGTCCTCACTGGAAGAGCAGCTGCACTGGGATCAAACATCCCTCATCCCACCCAGCAGACACTCAGGCATGGAGCAGGCAGCACATCCTGCCTCCAAACTTTTTCCAAGAGCAGCTGGTTATTAAAATAACTCTCCTCACTGTGTGTTTCCTCCATCCCCAGGCACGGGAGCACCAGGCAGGGTTAATTTTAACCAAGCTCCTACTCCATTACACCTGGATTTTGTATCCCAGAGAACAGTTTTGATGAGTAACAGGAAAGAGCTGCCTGGCATTTTCTGAATGGGACCCTTAAGGTCAAAGCACCAACAAACAACCCTTTGCTTCCAGGTAGAACTGATTCCACGATTCTGCCAGGAAATGGGAACTCCTCCAGGACTGCACACAGAAATGAGGAAAAAACCCAGGAATTTCTGCCCTTGAAAACACAGCTGCTCATATACAAAGAGCTGGATGAAGAGAAAGCAGCAACCTGAATCCTTCTGGGCTCAAACCCACCCTCACACATTCCAGGGAATGCCAGCAGAGCCATCCCTCCATTCCCCAGGGACCCTCCCCACCTTCTGGGGGTGCTGCAGCCTCGGGTGAGTCTCCCTCCTCCAGCCCCATCCCGCTGCTCGTTTTGGAAGCACCAGAGGGACGTGGGGCTCCTTTGGTCTCCACCCCCTGGTTCTTCATCACAGCCTTTCGGCCCTGTCAGACTCTGCAGAAACAAACAGCAACTTTAAGAACGTTTGAAGGGTTTGGGGAGCCATCCACCCAGACTGGGAAGGAGCAGGAGCTCCCACCACAGCTCTGCGCCAAAGAAAGCAGGGCCTGGTTCCCAGTTTGTACCTCTTGGATTTCAGAGCTGACAGAGAAACCCCCTCACTGGGATGAGGACCCAGAAACCAGAGCATCTCCAGCAGAGAGGTCAATTCCTGCTGAGCCCAAAACCCCAGACAAGGAGAACCCAAAATCCCAGCTCTTCATCCCCATCGCCTCTCCCTCTGCAGGGCTTGAATGTTCTCACCCTTCTCACCCTCTGCTCTGCTTATGACACTAATTATGGGCTGAGGATGCTGATGCTCCTGGTCTAGAGGGGAGGGGCTGTTCCCAGTTTGGAGCTCAGGAGAGTTCCGAGTCCAGGCTGTTCCTATTTTGGAGGTGAGAGGCTGTTCCCACTTTGGAGCTCAGGATAGTTCCCCACCCAGGCTGTTCCCCGAACAGTGGGATCCCTTTCCCGTGCCTCCATCCCCTCCCGGTGCTCCTCCTGGCAGGCAAACCCGAGGGCAGAGCGGCGGCGGAGCCCGGCCCGTGTCACCGCCCACGTGCGGGATCTGCGGGGCAGCGCCTTCACCCGCACCTGCCCCGCGCCTCGGGCGCTGCTTTTCCGCTG